TATGAAAATGGTGGGGGACAAAGGGTCCCCTTGTTTAAGTCCTCTGGTGGCTTTAAAGAAACCATGAGATTTCTCATTTATAAAAACTGAGTTTGTGTTATCCTCCAGCCATCTTTTAATCATCTTGCAGCAATCCCTGGAAAAGCCCCTAGCCTCCAAACATTCAATGATGAAGTCCCAGTTAACCATGTCATAAGACTTCATTAGATCAAGCTTAAAGATTGCATTACCCCCTCTGCAAGGTTTCTCCAAATCCTACCAACTCCTGCAGAAGTTCTTGGGTTAGAAGGATGTTATCCCCAATACTTCTACCTTTGACAAAAGCAGCTTGGTTAATGCTGATAAGATGAGGTAAAACTGGCTGAAGCCTGTTGACAATGATTTTTCTTATCATTTTGCGACAATGATTTTTCTTATCATCTTACTTATGACATTGTTTAAACTCAGAGTTTTGTACTGCCTCCATCTGTCCTTGATAGAAGTCTTTGTGATAAAAACAATAGTAGAGGCACTGAAATAGTTAGGGAGTGAGTTTCCTTTGAAAAAGTGTTGAATAGCTATGATCACCTCTTCCTTGATGACATCCCAAGCCTTCTTATAGAAGTCAGAAGTAAAAGTAAACTCATCAGGTCTAGCTGATTTGGAACTGTCAATAGAATTCGAAGCAGCTATTATCGAGCCTTTATCTCTTCCTCATTGGGGATATCAGTTAAGTGCAGATTGGCAGTGTACTTCTTGTTGTCAATGAAAAAATTTCTATCAATTTGTTCTCTATCCCTAGTGGTCTCATTCATTTGGTCTCATTCATTAGCATTCATTAGTCTTTGGCAATACTACACAACACTTTCAGCAATGTTCTCATCCTTCCTAAGCCAAGTACCATTATGATCTTTGATAGAGTGTATAGTGTTGCATTTCCTTTGGTATTTGATGCAGGCATGGTAGAATTTAATATTCCTATCACCATCAGCAAATTTAGTTTTTGCAGCCTTTTGTTGAAGGAAGTGGTACTGCCACTGGATGGCATTTAGAAGTCTCTCATTACCCTCAAGGAGAACAGCCTCATCAATCCTTCCTTTTCTATGCTCCTCCTCTAGCTCAGTTACGTTCTTTTCAGCCTTATCAACAATATGTAGGAGGTCTCCAAAGGTATTCCAGCTCCACAGTTTAAGGGCTTTAGCAACCCTTTTCTGATTAAGCCAAAGGTTGATAAATGGGTCAGGGTGAAGGTCTTTCTTCCACTGATTATTAATAATATTCAATAATGTTAATTGCTGAGACCAAACTTTCAAGTATCTGAAGGAGCTTTTCTGGTTAGCCATCTTATTCCCAATAGTAATCGGTAAAGGACTGTGATCAGACCCAACAAAGCTTAAATGGGTAACAGATGTATGCAAGAACTGTTGGATCTAGTGTTGAGAACTGTTGGATCCAGTTGTCATTGGCCAAAACTCTATCCAGCCTTTCCCATAGCTCCTTCCTCTTCAGAGTAAAGGTAGGACCTTAGAAACCCAGGTCAAATAATCCAGTTTTTTGGATGTTGTCATTGAAGAAAGGTATATTAATGGGGTTGGGAGGTCTGCCCCCCTTCCTTTCAGCAGGAGATGAGATGAGACACAATTAAAGTCTCGTCCCACCATCCAAGCCTTGTCAATAGACCCTTGGATGAACTGCAGGGATTCCCACAACTCAAATCTAGCTGCTTTAGAACACCCAGCATAGACAAAGGAAGCATAGACTTCCTTATCCATAAATTTGAGATTAAAATGTAAGATTTGAGTATGGTTAAGTAGGATAGAGCACTGCATTTCTTTCCTACAAAAAACCCAAATTTTGTTGTTGATGTTAGTAAACAAATTGAATCCAGGGAAAACTTTAGCAATTTTCAATGTGTTGAGGTGAACCATAGGTTCCAAAATGGCAACACATCAAAGTTTGTGCTTCTTATTCAGATATTTGAGTCTTTTCAGAGATAGGGGGTGGGCAATCCCCCTAATGTTCCAACATAACAAACTAATCATAGGGAAGGGGGAGAAGAGTAAGGTTGGGACTTGGACATAGTCCTCCCTCTATATTTGTTTGAACCCATTCTTATCTGATTAGCATTGACCTCCAAACCCTGAAGCTCCTTTCCTTTCCAAAGGTATTGTCCTTCTTTTTTATAATTCTTTTTCTTCTTAGTTTTTTGGATTTGCCACTCTAACTCCAGCTCTTTGTTCATGTCTTCTACTAGTTTCTGACAAGGGGGTTCCACCACTTGATCCACCACTGGATTCATCACATTTCTAGCAGGAGGGGAGGTAAACACTTCCCCAACTGACTCAGCCTCTGGATGGATCTCTATTTCTCTATCTATTGTAGTTATTTGGCCAACTGCTTTGCTGCCACCTCTCTCTATCTTCTCCACACACAGTGAGGGTCCATTTGAGTGGGGCATTTGAGTGGGGGGCTTCTCATTCCGTTCAGCATACACAGTCCTCTTTTGCACTTCTGTATTCCCAGTTGCTCGATTTTATTAGTGGCATCTTCCAACTCCTGCTGAGGTTGGTGGTGAGTTCTTCTAATGGGAGGTTTCAATCTGTACCATCTCTCCCTATTATGTCCAACCATTTTGCAATGTTGGCAGTAGTTAGGCCTTTGCTCCATGATGACTTCTTACCAAAAACCTCTCTTAGTGTCCCCAATCCATATTATCTTAACATCAGGGAGAGTCACATCTCTTTCCACTAAGATTCTTGCACTGGCAAGATTCTTCTTGTTAAAAGTAGCAGCATCAACCTTTAAAGATGTACCCAAGGTGCACCCTATATTGAACAAAGCATTCATTTTAAATAAATGAGCATTCACCCTATATTGAACAAAGCATTCATTTTAAATAAATGCAAAGGCAGCTTAGGTAGATTAACCCAAATAGGCACTATGGGAGGTTCTTGTGATGGATCATAATGAGGTGACCATTTTAAGATTTTCATTTATGTTCCAGCAATTATGATGGATTGCTTTGCAAAAATTCTGGCATAGTCCTCCTCTTTAGTCAGTTGGATTAGGAGGTGTGTACCATCCAACAACCCTAGCTTTCATTCTGAAGTCTTCAGGGATTCAAAGTATTTTCTGACTAGCTCCATCTTTGGATGTCCCAAGCTGAATTTACCAATTAGAGTGAACTGAACCTCCAAGTTTAAGTAAGCAAGCTCATTTTCAAAAAAAAAAAGGCAGCAGGTTCCCCATCTTTAATACCCATAGGGTGAATGCAGGCTGCAGATCCTCTTCCAGCAACAGTGTTATGAAAGTCCTGAGGGAAGACAAGTAAATCAGGATCCAGAAAAGGGGAGGGAGGGTTACCCACCACTCCAGTATAGGTGGCTTTGGTCCATTGCAGGTTGGTTTCCAAATAAATAGGGGTGTTCATGATTCACCAGACCAGGACCCCAAAATAGGATCCATGCGAAAACAGAAACCAGCAAGGGAGGTAAAGAAAAGCAGACTATCTATTTCTAACCATAAGTTGTACCAGCTAGACCTTTTGGCAATTTTCAAAGCCCAGTAGACAACCACTAATTCAGTTTCAATAGCATCAGCAACCACAATGGGGATGTGGAAGTATAATAAACATTTCCCTAGGTG